CTGGCACGCTTGCTGGGTATGTTCAAAAACCAACTAAAAACATGGTTATTCAGACAGCCCTTCCTCCCAGTCACCTAAGTTCTTTTCCCCCCTTTTTTCCGGTTCTTAATGTTGCCATCTTGGATAATATTAATTATAATAATTGCATTATGGTAGTTATTTTTCTACATTGTTTTAATGTGTTTTAATTTTTGTAAGCCGCCCCGAGTAGACATTGTCTAGAGGGGCGGGGTAAAAATTGAATTAAACAAACAAACAAACAAACAAACAAATAAATAAATAAATAAATAAATAAATAAATGAAGGAATAAGTTTCTAATGAAGTTAGTAATGCAATTACATTTTTATTCTGTCTTTCTTAATTCAGCTGTGTCCGTGTGTGGATGAATCCATGCCTTAACTCCTTTGCTATTTTGTGCTTTAAAAGGGGAAGCCAAGGAATGAGGTAGACATCATGTACATGTGGTGTTCTGTAGCATTAGCATGGAAGGGTGCCTTTAGCTATGGGAAAATTAAGGATATTTTTTAAAATTTGAAGTATCATCTCTGCCATGAATTGCATATCATGTTGGAATTATTACCCACTTCCGCTGAGCCCTTCCTTGCTATGCTAGAAATGTCATGTTGAAACTCTGTGCCAGTCCCATATATCCTTTCCTTTTTTCCTGGCACACTGCTCCAGAATACAGGGAAAGGAATTGTAATGTCTGCTACCTTGTTCTACCACCACCGATGCCATACCATTCAATATATCCTGGGAGTGCATACTTCCATGTATGGCTATTTCCTGAGCAGCTTGTTTTTGTTTCTATAAATTTTGTTTTTATAAATGTCATTTGTGCACCTAGTGAGTCCACAGAGTATGTCAAAAACATTATTTTATTTTTTCGTAGTCCAGTTTAATTTCTCTACTGAGAGTCAATTAACCGCTCAAGTTGACTATTAGAAAAAAGTAGTGTTTGCAGCAAAACATTGCTGTACAACCTCACAACATAACGAGTGGTTCTGGTCAGGCAAACAGGATGCCATGCTCTCTGTTAGAAAATTCCATCAATTTCTCCCTCTATGCCTTCTTTTCCAGTAATTCTGTGACTAGTGAGAATGCTCATTTTTCTAGTGACTGCTTTGGGGAGGGAAGGAGAGTTGCCCCTTTAGGATGTGTGACTTTTTTAAAAAGTTTTTCATTTTTTAAAAATAACTGCAGATCTTGTGGTTCCTTTGCCTAATACCTTATCATGTTTCTCAGATACCCCATTATCTGGATTGGTTTTGCTCTCTGAATTTTCTGTTTGATGGAATTAGGAGTAAAATAAATATTGAACTTTGGAAAATAGTGCTGTCCCACAAATTCTTCTCAAGACTCAAGGAACTAAAAAAAAATGCAAATATTAAATTCACAAGACAATGGAGAAATGTGCTGATAGTAAATGTTACAGATATCTGATATGTGCTTGTGCCTTCATTGCTCTTCTTACAACCTTAATGTCATCTCTATCACTTCAGTTATCTGGCCCATTAATCTACATAAATACACTTCCAGAAATTCTGCTTTTGTTCTAGGCAGACTGATGAGTAAAAATGAATCTCAAGAAGCTCAGGGTGGTGGCAGTGATGAAGTTGGGGAGGAAGATATAGAGAACAACAACAAAAACTACACATTATCAAAAAAGAGAAAAGTGGACAGCATATGTTCTGATTCAGAGATTGAATTTATCCAAGCCACTGACAGACAACATTATTTGTATTCAAAACCTGAAGATGAACCAAGCCTGTAAGTAAAGAATAAAACAGTTTTAAAGTTCTGCTTGTGGAGACTCACTGTGACTATTTAAACTCTCGCAGGGCTACTGAGCAATGCATGTCTGTATTTATAAGTACACAAGAAATATGCAAGATGCTTTTCCAACCCTCCCAGGAATTTTATTAGCAATGCTATAATTTTGTTTCTTTTTGGTCTATCAATACCAATAGTAGAGAAAAATTAGACAAAATATAGAAACAGTTGTTCGGCTTTTTTCTACCACTGATATAGACAGAACTTGCTAGTAAAGTTCTCACTGGGACAGGCTTTTGAGGACCTGTCTCTGTACTTGGATCAAAGACACAGATGGGGCCATTGATGGTGTGCTGCACATTCTGACACCTTGACTGAAGGAACTGAATTAGTCTTAAGCTTTAGACAAGTTTTGGATCTAAGAAATGTGTTGATTGTAGCATCATTTGAAGCCCACTTCTGATTAGTTTTGTCTTCTGATGTCTGTTTCCTTCTGGTGTAGGGGATACATTAAGGCAGTCCAAAATTCCTGAATCGTCTGCAGTTTCCAAAGCTACTTTGGTCTCAGCATGTTGAGAAAAGAATAATATATACAGTGGTGCCTCACACAACGAGCGCCCCGTAGAGCGATGAATTTGCTCTACAGGGACGTTTTTTCGATCGCTAATGCGATCGCAGAGCGACGGCCCCAATGGGCGAAAATCGCAGAGCGAAGGTCGGTAAGTGGTTCGCTTACCGACCTTCGCTTTGCGACCCGCCGATCAGCTGTTCCGCGGCTAGAAAATGGCTGCCGTTAAGCGAGGGGAGGGCGTGAAAATGGCTGCCGGCCATAGAGGAACATCGCTGTACGGTGAGTAAATCAGCCGATTGGAGCGTATTAAACTAAGTTTAATGCATTCCAATGGCTTTTTTCTTTCCATACAATGATGTTTCATACAGCGAGAGTTAATCCGGAACGGATTAACCTCGCTGTGCGAGGCACCACTGTATAGTAGAACTTCAAGACTAACAATTTTATTTCAGTGTGAGCTTTTCTGTACTTCAGTATCTGAGGAACTGGACTTTGATCCACAAAAGCTCACACTGAAATAAAAGTTGTTAGTCTTTGGAGTCCTACAATGTTTTGTTTTGTTTTTTACTTCATTTACTTTTCTTTTGCCAATAAACCGAATGGTCTTGGGGTTTTACCAATAGCTAAAACTAGTAACACTGTTGGAGCTCTAGCTCTGCTTTGGAATGGACAAGATAGTAAGAGACACTGATGCTCCTGGTTATCCTATCTGACCGTTTAGCACTGTGCTTGTTCCAAGTGAGGAAAAAGGGTGGAGAACAGATGCAAGCAAGAAAAACAAAAGAGAAAACACATGAGCTTTGGAGTCTGCAAGAACGATCAAAGCTCAAGCAAAAAAGGACTCTAGGATTCTGTGGCCTAACAACTCTTCTGGAAGCAGGCTCAGCAGTCTTGCTGTTCAAAAGACCATTCTTAAGGATTTTAAGAATAATTTTTATTGAAAAATAAAGTCTTTAAAGATATTCAGTTTGTTGCATAAGCAAAGCATTAGTTGCATTTCCAAAAGATATTGCAGTTAAAATCATAACAAAATTCAACTAGCAAAAATAAAATAAAATCCTAAAAAGCTTCTTTAAGGGTAGGCAAGGGTTAGCCCCCCCCCCTCTATACTACATTTTAGCATAAAGCATAAAAAATGGCTGTCTGGAATCAGGTATCTGGAAGCTCTCCCATGTGGTACCATCCTCCATTTTCTATCTCCTTGGCACCACCCTTCTTCATCCATCGAGGTGTTGACCAATTGGTGTAAAGGACAGTCCGTTCACATCACACCTCCTTTTCCCATGAGAAGTCCAGGTGTTGTTTTCCAAGTCCTCGTCTCGGGTCTAGGTCCAGACAATTGTGTTGTATCTTTACTCCTTATCGTCTCATAACGTGGCTGTTTACATGGAACTTTCCCATCGCCTCTTGGTGAAAACATTCCCATCATACAAAATCATTCTAATACAGAACCAATATTAATTCATTTTATATTTCTCCACAACTACATATCCCATCTTAGTTCAGATTTTAACCTTAATATTCATAACCGTGACAACAGCTCTACATCTCCTTTTCTCCAACCACAGTGGATGCCTTTCCGTCCCTTCAGCGCTGCCTGGAGGCTGTACTGCAATGGATGCAGGAGAATGGACTGAGGCTGAACACAGACAAGACGGAGGTCCTGAGGGTGGGTGGCCCCTCCATCGGTGGTTTGGGAAACTCCCTCTCTTTTGGGGGAGTGACTTTCACCACAAAGAGTGAGGTTCGCAGCTTGGGGGTCCATCTGGATCCGGCGCTCACTATGGAAACCCAGGTCAACTCTGCCTATTTCCATCTGTGGCGGATTGCCCAGCTGCATCCCCATCTTGATGTTGGGGCCTTCACCACTCTGGTCCATGTGCTTGTAGTCTCAAGATTAGACTACTGTAACGCACTCTATGTGGAGCTACCTTTGAGATTGATGCGGAAGCTTCAAATGGTGCAGAATGCGGTGGCCAGACTTCTCAGTGGGATGAGAAAATATCAGCATATTTCCCCCACTCTGGCTGCCATGCATTGGCTGCCTGTTCGTTTCTGCATTGATTTCAAAGTATTAATGATGACATATAAAGCCCTAAAGGTTTTAGGACCTTGATATCTAGAGCATAGGTCAGGGAACAGGAGTAAATTACCCCAAATGGGGTAAAAGTGAAAATCCTGGGGGTAATGAGCAGAGTGCTAATACATTTTCTAAAAATGGAGAGCATCTGTTATGCAACTGTGTTCCCTAACCATTATAGAACTAAAAGCCATGCCTTGAGGTGAGCAAAGTCAAATTCATATATGATTTTAAATATGTTTGGGCAATAGAAAATTGTCTCAAAGGAGAAATTGTTATATGTGGCTAAATTCTGAACTTCCTACATATCAGATTGCTTTTTGAAATTCAGCATTTTTTTCTGAATCATTTGCTAATTATTTGAAAGAATTCTACTTCACTGGATCTTATATAATGCCCTGTTTCTCTTTCTTACCAGAATTCAGAGCTACAGCTGTAACAAGAGTTGGAATAAGCAAGTTATCACAAGACAAAAAACCAGAACATCTCTTCTTCAAAGCTGCTGGAGACAACTAGTAAAAATTCCAGATTTATTTTTAGCCTTCCTTACAGGCTTCTTACTTCATTTCAGTTTGTGTTCCTTGTCCTTTAATATCTAATCTGCTCTTGCATATAATGCCCGTGTCGACTGGGGTACAATTGAATTTGTTGCTAATACAGAATTGTTAAGCCCTTTTCTCCCTCCCTTTCCTCATGTTTCAGATACATTCCTCTGAGCAGCACACAGATCATGCTCCTCAGTGTACTTTTATCCTTGCTGTTGTAACAGAAGGTCACTTTCTTATGGTGGGGTGTCTACAGATGCCCACCCAGCATCTCTGTCCTGCTTGCCGAGCCCCACATTGTTTCTTTCACACACAGCCAAGTAGCCACACACTTCAGTCTCTCTCTCTCTCTCTTATCTACATGATGCCCATGGTGTGTGCCTGCATGTACATAAATACTACATAGCTAAAAAGGCTCTCACTGCCTCCAAAATCCATAATGTCCATGCCTTCCACAAAACTCTATGACAGCGATGATAAACCTCTGGCACATGTGCCACAGCTGGCACGAAGAGCCCTCTCTGTGGCCATGCAAGCAATAAGTCATCATTGAGAAATACTTACCCGTCCTCTGATCCTGGATTTCGGGAAGAATTATTGGGCAGGGAGGGAGAGCCAAGATGGCAATGGCTACCACCACAAACACACACACAAATACATATTTGACACCAGGCATGGAAACACTCAACTCCTGCCGCCTGCACCTTTAAGGATTGCAGCCAGAGGCAGAGTGGGGGAGTGTCACTGGCAGGCACTGGAGGTTGTGCGGCTGGAGGAGTGGGACTCTTTGGGACAGTGGTGATTGGTTTTGTGTTCCAGTTTGGGCACTTGAGCTCAAAAAGGTTCACCATCACTGCCCTATGAGCTAAGCTGTCACGCCCTTGCACAAGTCTGATGCCCAGGATGTCGATGTCTATTCTTGCCATCTCCTGCTTGACCACCTCCAGCTTACCAAGGTTCATAGATCTTACATTCCAGGTTCCTATGCAGTATTTTTCTTTGCAGCATGGGACTTTCCTTTCACTTCCAGGCATGTCCACAGCTGAGCGTCCTTTCAGCTTTGGCCCAACCACTTCATTAGCTCTGGAGCTACTTGTACCTGTCCTCCACTCTTCCTCAGTAGCATGTTGGACACCTTTCGAACTAAGGGGCCCATCTTCCAGTGTCATATCTTTTAGCCTTTTGTTTCTGGTCATGGGGCATTCTTGGCAAAGATACTGGAGTGGCATTGCCAGTTCCTACTCCAGGTGGATTGCTTATTGACATATAAAACCTTAAATTTCATGTGATCAGGATATGTGAAGACTACCTTCTTCTTTATGTGGCTATTGAACCCTGTACAGCAACACACAAACACATGTGAACTCACAAAGCCATATCACTATCATCTACAGAGACAATTACAATCATGCCCTTGCAACCATATTTAAATTCATGCAGGTGCACACCTCATCTGGGCAGTGCAACTACATGCAATCACTGCCTTCCCACCCACTTACTGTTTCAGGATAATTCCTTGCTTCCCACCATCTCCTCAGACATGAACCGTGCATCCCATTCATCCGTCACATTAATAGCATACCTTTCTTGCACTTTCACTGGTAACCACTCTTAACTTGCTACTTCCCCGATTTGTCTTTTCTAACCCCTTGCTGCTTTTATTGGTGGTGGCAAATCAGCTGCAATCGTATCTGGAGGAGCAGGATTGTCTTGACCCATCCCAGTCTGGATTCAGGCTGTGACTGAGTACTGAGACTACATTGGTCATGCTGCAGGATGACCTTTTAAAGGAGGCTGACAGAAAGATGCATCTTTTTGGTATTCCTAGATCACTCAGTGGCTTTTGATACCATCAACCATGGTATCCTTCTAGACAGGCTCTCCGAGGTTGGGATTGGAGGCTTAGCATTGAGCTGGCTCCGATCCTTCCTCAGGAATCATGTCCAGATAGTGCAGCTAGGCTTCAGCTAGGAGATAGTTTGGCATCTTTGACCCTTTGGTGTGGGTTTCCTCAGGGATCGGTGTCAGCAAACATGGGTCCAAAAACACGTGTAAGCCTGGACAGAGAGCAATCAGGAGTTTGCACATGCTAAAATGAGCTGAGGGAGTCCAAACTCAGCTAGCCAAGATACAACACTCCTTCTCACAGGTCTGCCCACATAAGAACACCCTTGTACTCTCAGATATTATTGTGAAAAGGTCAAGTGGGCTTTGTAGTCCTTAGACTTAACTTGCACCACTGACAGGACTCTAAGTAAGCTAGGCCGAGGCAGCACTCTCAGATGACCCTATGACAAGTGTACTGTTCAGAAAACCAATTGAGTTTTATAATCTTTATTTTATTAAAGAATAAGCATGTTACTAAGTATCGAAGCCAAATTAAACCAACACAAATAAACTAGCATTGCGCTGTTTAGTTACAAAGATGTAGTGAGGCAAAGAAAACATGAAAAATAGAAAAGTGTTCAAAAACCTTACAAAAACACAAAAAGCCATTAAAAAGAATAAAAACAGTTCCAGTCCAGGAAATCATTAGTAAAAACAAAATAATCCAAGTAGGTTATAAAAAGGCTATAGTCCTCAGTGATACTATAGAATAAAAATCCCTTAACAAAGGTAAAAATCCATTATATGTCCCATAGTCCTTAGAAAAGAAAAATCCAGTAAATATACCATAGTCCCTACAAAATTACAAGAGCATAGTCCATATGGAGTATTCCAAGAAAAGAAGTCCATAAAGAATATTCCATAGGTAACAGTCCATAGAAAACAGTCCATGCATAGTCCTTAAGAAAAAGCCCATAAATCCATAGGTAATCCAGTATAGTAAAGGTTAGTCCATGTGTCACGAATGACTGAAGGATCGGTCTTGAAAGACAATGTCCATAGGCAAAAAGTTCCTTTTTCAAGAGTAACTGGCAAGGGCTCATCGCACCTTCCCACGATGTCATCCAATCAGACTTCGTTACTAGGCAAACAGTCCTGTTGCATCACATGACTTCTTTCTCATACGCACCAGATGTTATTTGGGTTACGGTGGTTTATCAAAGAGTCACAACAATTCCCATCTATCTCATCACACCGAGTCCTTTCTCAGGCTCTCAGAATAACATTCTCTCTGCTCGCCTAGAAAACAACCTGTCAGCATAGCAAAGTTACTGTATACAAAGAAACAAGATGGAACCTCTGTGGCTCATTTCTTAATTACAAAACCCATATGCCTTAAATGATTTTAACTCAAAAACCCATCTCATCACAATCGGCACTATCCCTGATGCCATTTAATACCTATGTTAAGCTGTTGGGGGAGGTCATCAAGAGTTTTGGAGTAAGGTGTCATCAGTATGCTGGTGAGATGGAACTCTATCTCTCCGTTACCACCTCTGCAGTGGATGCTATTCAGATGCTGAAGCGTCACCTGGTTGCAGTACTGGAATGGACCAGGCCTAATACGCTGAAACTAAACCCGGACAAAACAGAGATTTTGTTCCTAGATGGGAACTATGGGGGGATGATCCCTAGACTGGATGGTATTCCCCTCCAGTTTAGGGTCCAAGTGCGTTCTTCTGGACCCAGCTCTTTCTCGGGAGTCGCAGATTGCTGCTGTGTCCAGATCAACCTTTAGCCAGCTTAGACTAATCGCCCAACTTCACCCCTACCTAGACCAGGACTCCCTTAAGACTTTGGAGGCAACCCTGGTCATCTCCCAGTTCTTCTTTGTGGCCTCTGTGAATCACACTGTGGGTAATCCGCGCATGCACGGAGCCTCATTGGAATATTCTAGAGCTTCTGCGGTAGCAAAAATACATTAGTGCAGAACCCTCCCCCTTGGTATATGTACCTTGGCGGCAAGGCTCTCCCTTGAGTTTCTTTCAACCACCATGTTGAAAGTCTCTATCGCCACTTGTTTGAGTCCTAAAAAAAAGTTATTGTTCTTCTTCATGGCCTCTGTGAATGCACACATGAATATTGTCTGCGCCTGCGCTGACTCTCTCGGAAGATTCTAGAGCTAAAAGTAACAATTTTATGGTGTGATCCTTATCACGAGTTATATGCTCCTCCCACCCACCATCTTCCCCAGCTCCTTTTTTCCACCAAGCTGAACGGTTCTCCAGAAAGATAGAGTGCTTCGCTATTGCCTTTTGGCTCTTTTTCCAGGCTCCTTTGAGTTTTTGCTTACTTTATCCTTTAGTTTTATTGCCTACTTAGTGATCCTCCGCGTCTTTGATTTGCTTAATTGGCTCTCCGCTATTTTATTCCCTCTCCTTCCTCCCTTCCCCTTCCCTCCCCCCCCCGTTCCCTTCTTATGGCTTCACCAACTCCTTTCAAACGTTCTACTACTTGTGTGAATAAAATCGCATTCTCAGACGGCCATGGCCAATGCCTTTTTTGTCTGGGCGAGGAACACCCGATCCATTTGTGCCCTGCTTGCAAGAACTTGACCAAGCCAGCACTTAAACAGAGGCTCCAAAGACTTCGGTCTTACCTTTGGCAAACGGCCATGAATCCTCCTGCCCCTTCTTCAGAGGCAACCAGATCTCCTACCCTCTCTGCGGATAGGCTTCCAGCCGGCCAAACTGCCTCTGACTCTACGTCCATGCTGCCAGCAAAGGACACTGCCGAAAAAGCAAAACCATCTGGTAAGCACAAGCTACCTTCCTCTGACAGATCTCGAGCGCACGATCCAGGCTTGAAGAGAAAGTCAGCACCCATTACTAAAAAGCCCAGGAAGGATAAGCCTCCCCACGTAGAGCCACCTCAGCCTTCTCTACCCTTTCCTGTCCTCGAGGAGTCCTCTAGAGAAGCCCCAGATCTGGCCTCCGACGGTATCACACCCCCCCATGATGCCGCTCCAAACCCCGAGCTTTGGCCTCATCGCGGCTGCGCCACAGTCCAGCCCGGCCTCAGCCCATTCCAACCCTGATT